AACGACGGGATACATTAAAGTACATGTGTGTTCTGTTGATTGCACCTTGTGGTTGTAAAAGTGCCCGTTGATGGAGAACCTGTGCGCGCGCAGGCGCTGCAGGTCTCTGGCGGAGTGNCAATGACCTATCCACATCATTTACCCAGAATGCTTTGTGTGCAAATAAAATGGCTCCGTTCGTGTTAAAATATATTTTTAAAAATGTACAAAACTAAACATTTTACAGTATTTTTACAGTCTTTACATGTTTATCAAATAAAGTCTAATGTTACAGCTAATCAGGGATCCCTCTAAGAAAACCTCAGCCAGGGCCATAACTAAGTAGCCTAACCTTGTTTATTTATAGTGATCATGATCAGATCTCACAGAAAGATGCTGCGACACGTGGGTCAGCCTTTCCACAAGGTGTGCCGAATGAAGCACCTGTCGAGTTGTAATCTCTTGCAGACTGTGTGTGTATGTGTGTGTCTGTAATCCATAGTAATCCAGCAGGTCTGTGAGTGTGAGTTTGAATTCACGTGTTTACGCTCACCAGCTGGTCTGGTTTCACTGCTCGGGGAGTTATTGTTGGACTCTGCTGATGGCTGTACAGATTTATCGTTTCTAAACAAGGAAAGAAAATAGAAACAGAAAAAAGATGTTCATTTGGTTAACAAACATTTGTTATTCTGCTGGGATGAGGTTTCAGCAAGGGAGGTTTAGAGTTTYTTATTATTTAAACTTGATTTCATGCATTCAAGTTGTGAGCAGATGAAATGCAGAAACGACACAAACCAAATGCTACTTTTCAGCAATTGTTTCTAAACTGATAGAGATGGAACCTCTGTCCAGACGTTATTACATTTCAACATAAAACATTACAAAATAAATACTGTAGCCTACAAATAAATAAAATCTGCCTTTCTTAAAGAGGACATATAAAATCCATGTTTTTAGCGGTTAGTTGCATTTTGTTGGAGTCTCTAGGAGTACAGAAAATTTGAACTTGGTTTGCTACAAAGATATATTTATATTCTGTTTGTGACATATTTRTCAATCCATTCTGTTTTCTCTATTCTCTTTGATGTTTTCTCTGCTACTTCACATTRYCYACAAAACTTCTAAATAGGTTCCGGACTCGACTACAAATTGGTGGTCTTCATTCTCCTCTTGTTCTGGGTCTGACTCTGGCTCCAACATGTAAYGCTGGATGAGTCTTCCCTTGTTGGTGTCTTTTAACTAATTTGTAAAGAGAAAAAAATCATTTATGGGGTGTGAAGCTCCTTGTTTGGATTTAAAGAGACAGRCTCAATATGAGTTGATCTGAGACACGCCATAGTAAAGGGGTWAAACGGGGACTTGTGGAGTTACAATAAGATGGAAATCTGACCAAAGCACTGCAGTTCCACTTCATCTAGACCCCATTTGATGGAGAATATGAAAAAGAAGAGATTAAAAGCTTGATATGTCTCCTTTAAAATTGACAGAGGCGGCTGAAGGCCTGGATGTAGCTTATGAATATATATCAAGTTACCTGTTTTAAAAGAGTCAGATAWATGTGACTTTACAAGAAGCTGGTTAAACTCAACTTAAAAACTGGAAGCAGGCTAGTTCAAACACCAAAATAGACAAGTTAAATCAGTTTTTAAAAGCTTTTAAGTATAGTATTTATGAATACATTGATTTAAATGTATGCTTCATTTATTTTTTTATATATAAATAACTCAAAATGGGTTTAGCATGTTAACAAGTGAAGTTCTCAGATAATGTGTGAGAGTTCCTTTTAAGTCCTGTTAAGGCCTCCCAGGTGAAAAAAATATTATACTAAATCTAAGTGTATTTTAGTATACTTGAAGCCACACTAATCATTAGTATACTTAAAGAGTGCTATTTTGGAAACACTAATTTAATACTAAATATACTTTAGTTGTATTTAAGTTGTAAAAAAGCACAATTTTAAGTGTATTAAG